TCGTTCGTTGGCCGCCGTGCAGTGCGAGCCGGTATTTAGGATCTTTTGGACATCCGTGGAAGAAGGCAAACTGCCAGAGGAGAGGAATCTGCCTTTACTTCTCCATCTACAATGAAGGGTCCAGGCTGAGGTCCGAAATATTCCGCCCCATTAGCTTAACTTCTGGAGATAGTGCAGTCAATTGCTATGTAGATGGTCAAGAATCATAGTTTTATGTCTTATTAAATCAGGCTGGCCAGCTCATTCAAGCTTACCGGATTTTCAATGGCCATGAATGTGCCCTGGACTTCAGTGACTTCTTCGAATTGGTTGGGGCGGACCGTCTGCGTGGTCGTCAGTTTAAATTATAGGGAAATTTGGTCCATGCAGACACCAAATGGAAAGTCTTCTCGAATGGGTTCGCGAAGCAGGGACGAACTGTTTGACGTGGTTGTCCTTTCACAAACTATTACAATACTTAAATGCGTACTAGAAACTTGTTTGCTAATAAACTACTGTGCAAATAATCACGACTGTCCTGGCAGCAGCAGTTTGTGCCTGGCTCAGACATACCGGTGACTTTAACATTTACAGAATTAGTGCTGTAAACGTTGATTCAATTGCTATTCTCGGATATGATTAGGAAGCTCCAGGGCAAAGGTCTTTCTGCCTTAATAAACTAACTGAAAATGACTCATGGATACGGTTAAATCACGACATCCCGTAAATACACCGACTGCGAAAGTCTTAAGGAATAGTACGTCGACAAAAGTCCCTGAGGGTGGTACTTAAACAAGGCCTCTAAATCAATTTGTTTAAAAGAAGTGGAGAAATGCAATAACCAACAATTTTTACTCGTTGAAGGCTCGTAAATCGTGCACGACGGTTCAAGTAAATCAAGATATTATTTTTGTGTTTCGACTGCCAGATTGGATGAACATTTACCTCCGACACGCCCATTCTATTCATCAACTTATCAATTCTTGTGAAAAGTAACCGTTCTGTGATAAATTCGTACAAACAACACCAGTTTTAAAAAGAAATTATAGATGAAACAACTGTGCCGAAATTTGAAGGGGTGCGTCGAAAACCCCAGCGAGCTCTCTACTGACACGCAACGGATCCTCGAACATTACACAGTTTTCTACTCTCATGTATGGCCCACCGCATCTTTGATATTTTCAAGGTTCTTTTCGGCGGCTTCATCTTACAACATCTTCCTCATTTACTGCGTCAGGAGAACTGTGGCAATATTTTCTGCCCACATATCCCAGATGGGAACGGCAATCGGCCATCGTATGAAACGGTCAACCGCTATCAGTATACGCGTATAACCACGGGAAGGGGGTAGAGGACCAAATAAATCCAAGTGGACGTGGTGGAACCGAACATCCAGGACGACAAATGTACTCAGTGAAGAGAATCTGTGGCAGTGGAATTTGTTTTTCTGGCAGGCTTAACAGTGTCCAGTCCAAAGATTTAGGTCAGATTTCATCTTTGGCCAGATAAAGCGAGCGGCAATAAGCTAACGGCAAACGCGGATGCCAGGATGCGACAGGGGATGGAAGTGGTCAAACATTACCTGGCGGTAGGATAGTGGAACAACATGTCGAGGAGTACCGGTGGACCAGTCGCACAAAATCGTTCCTGTTGATGCAGGAAGTGGGGCACTTCAAAGTTGCAGAGTAGTAGTAGAACGTATGTCGTCAATGGGTCTGTCGCCTGATTGGAGGTCTGTAAGCTTCACCAGGTCGAAATCGGATGTAAGTGTGTTGATGTCCGGACGGGATAATGCATCAGCAACGACATTGTCGCTGCCTTAGACGTGACGTATGTCTGCGGCAAACTGCAAGATGAAGTCCAGATGACGAACTTCCCTGGGCGAGTGCCGATCTGGTTTGGCCATAAAGGCGTAAGTGAGAGGTTTGTGGTCGGTGTGAACCCGAAAATCTCTGCCCTCTAAAAGGTGCCGAAAGTGACGAGTAGCCAAGTAGATGACAATAAGCTCACGGGAGAAAGTAATGTAGCGCGTCTGTGTTGGTTGTAGCTCCTGTAAGAAGAAAGCCAGTGGTCGCAACTGGTTATTTACCTGTTGATTTAGGACTGCGCTAACAGCATTGTTGGAAGCGTCAGTTGTCAAAATCAGTTCTGTCTGGGCGTCAGGACTGAGATAGTGAAGCATTATGGCTTCCGCAGGGGCTTTCCTGGCTGCCTGAAAAGCTGAGTGTGCAGACTGTGAAAGAATAATCGACTTCGCCTTGGACTTCAGAAGATCGGTCAAGGGAGCTAGAGTTTCCGCACCGTTGTGGATGGGCAGTCGGTAGTAGTTGATGAGACCTATGAACGCCGCAGCTACGCAAGTGTCTTTGGAGCAGGAAAAGACAAGATGCTCTGCGCCTTCTCTGGAAGTAGAGTGCTTTCGTTCTGGTCGACGTGATGATCAAGGAAATCGAGAGAAGTGACGCTACAGACACATTTGTCGACGTTCAGTTACAAAGCATGTTGCTGGAAACGACCGAATACCTCCCGCAAGTGCGATGCGTGTTCTTCCGGCGAAGAGCTTACGACGAGTATATCTCCGATCTATACAAAGTTGAACGAGGGTCCACACAAGGCCTCATCGATAAGACGTTGCAAGGATTGTGCCGCTTTGCGCAAGCCGAAAGGCATGCGAAGAAATCCAAACAGCCCGAAGTTAGTTGTGGTGGCGGTCTATTTTGGAAAAGCTAGTCTTTCCTGCCAACATGTGGGAGAAATCATGAATGTGAGGGATACGGCACCGATCGGGGACGGTAGCTCCATTGAGGGCGCGGTAATCACCACATGGTCTCTAATCATCAAAGGACTTATTAAGCACCATATACAGTGGAGAAGCTCATGGGCTGAAGGACGGACGGATGATCCCTAAATTCATCCTATGCTCGAACTCGTTCTTCGCTACCCGAAACTCTGCTGGGTGGAGACGGCTCGGATTAGCGTGAACTGGTTGACCTACAGTAACGATGTGATGTCCGACTGAGTGCTGGCTTGCGTCGGTGAACTGACAGGGCCTAGTGAGGGACAAGTAGTCCTTCAGAATGTCAGCGAAAGGCGAATTTGAAATGGTCAAGTGGATGCCGACCGACAGCCCGGAAGCCACAGTACCGACAGTAAAAAGCTTAGTTGTAGAATCAACCAGCTTGCGGTGATTCAAATCAACAGTAAGGCCGAAATACGAGAAAAAATCCGCTCTGACAATGGATTACTGGACGTCAGCCTGTAAAAAGACGCATTGGAAACGTCACCGGAGACCGATGTCGAGTGCGAATGAGCGTTGGCCGTAGGTGTTGGTGGTGGGTGCTATTGGCAGCCTGCAATGAAAGTTGCGAAGTCTTGAGACGGTAGCGCCTAGAAGGCGGGATGACATTGACCTCAGCACCAGTATCGACCGGAAAACGGATGTTACTCGACTTGTCATTGATGTAAAAAAAGCGACTCGGTCGCGACTGTCCAGTCACCATTACTGACTGGCGTGGTCGTTTAGCTGTTGCGAGGCTTGTTGGGAAGTGCACAGTGGAACGCACTTATGTGCCTTCGAACCGAAGGTACGACGGTACCAGCACTGCGTCTGCAAATGTCATTCACGTGACTGAGAACGACGACGTTAGTATGATTGGCTTCGGGAGGAGCGACGGCTATTAATAGCGGTACACATTGGTCTTCAACATCAACGGCGACATCGAAAGGGATACTGTGCACCACGCATGAATATCGCGTGCATTCACGGGTGATACGGCTTGTCGAGAAAACAGCCTCAATTTGCCGAAACCATACGCGGGGTTTGCTCGGTGTAAATATGGGCAATTTAAAGGAGAGGGTGTTAACGTCTAAGGAGTCTCCCTTGGATTCGTTATCGGCCATGACAAATATAAAGGTGTGTAAATGTGAAAAAACGGGTCACTACCTTTGTAGTGTAAAAGGCAATTAAAACTACAAAGAAAAATAGGTAGAGATGAAACTTAATTTTAGGTGGGGAATGCTGCGTTTCTTACGGACAAAACGATAGTAAAAGTGGGAAAACTGCAAAAGTAAATAACTGTACAGACTCATGAAAACGAGGCCTCCTCCAAAATCAGTAGTCGTGTAGTGAATGATCCGGATGAAGTCCTGACTGTGCCGAGCTGAAGGAGGTTGCTGCAGCTTTTTGTTCAGGCGGATTCACGTCCGACGAGATATATCCGAGAAATAAAATTGTAACGTGGGGACTAACTAAAAAGGGATTAGGGCCCGTGAGTGGAATGAATGAAGTATTGACACCACGCCGCAGTCAGGCACCAAGTACGCGATAACTCAAGCCGAAACCAGTTGTGTGTATTTTCCTCGGTTATTCAAATAACTGGATGGAAGTGTTCAGGTATACAAGAAAGTTTCCAGTGAGAAATCGCAAATGTACATAGGCCTCCAAAGTTCTGTGGTCCTCGTCAAAAGTGCTGTCACAATTTTCCAAGCACTCGACCCGTTCAATAGAAATGATTGTAAGGAACGGTTTATTAAAAAGCAGACAGTGACGATGAAAGATAACCATTGAATGAAGTATACACAAATGATTACAAGTCTTGAGTCCATCATCGACGGGAAAGAGTTCAGTAATAATAGCGTCATAATCAGTAGCTAGACGAAACAAAGGCGCAGTAGAAGTGGAGGCTGCTACGGCGTGCGAAACACAGGCCTTCAGTAAAGATTTTACAACCAAAAAGCGCAAAGTGGGTAAGACGCGTTACCTCTGACTGATTCTGTCTCTTCTCATCCGAGTAAAACAAAACGAGGAGAAAGGTTAATTTGGTCTCCATCACACTCGAAACTCTTAAGGAAATCAGACGCCGATTTACCAGTCAATGGGCCAAAGATAACTAGCTACTTTATCTGCCATTCACTTGTTAAACCACCCCATTTGTTTAAAGTGCTCTGACGTTAGAGGAGCGAATTTTGACTTTGTTCTCTGTCTAATCGGGTCTTGACACTTAGTTTAACCTTTCGCCAGCATGGCGCCAAAGCAATCTAAGGTTCAGACGGAAAAGCCAAATATTGCAAAGCCAACTAGGAGTTCAGCCTCAACTTTGTCAGTTTTCAGGGAGATATACACTGAATACAAACAAAATACTCCTCGCAAGTTGAGGTTAATAGACGCTTATCTCGTGTATATTTTGGTAACGGGAATATTTCAGTTCGTATACTGTTGCCTCGTCGGGACCTTCCCTTTTAATGCGTTTTTGGCTGGATTTATCTCCACGGTTGCTTCCTTTATACTTGCCGTATGTCTACGTATGCATTCAAATCCCGGGAACAAAGACGTTTTCCCCTCTTTCATGCCTGAGCGCGCCTTCGGGGACTTCATATTTGCGCACGTTGTTCTGCACTTGGCTGTTTTCAATTTTATGGGTTAGAATACGATGACTCAAGTTGTCTGCCTTTCAATACCAATTCATCTCTTCGGAGTGTGGGCTGTCCTTTGTACCATGAGTTTTTACAATTAAATCTGGTGCCGACGTATTCACCCTTTACTGTGATTCAAAGTGTTGATACAGCAAACTAGTGGGTTTTCCATTCCGCAGAGATTCCACGGTTTTAAGCTCTCAGTCACCATAGGTGTTAACCGAAGTCGATCAGGACTGGAAGAACGCGGAGCCTTAGAATTCATACATCCAGAAAGCGATTTTGTATCCATATATCTCACTAAAAATAAAGATCTACTTGTACTTGTGCTTCGTACGACTGCAATTTAGCCGGCCCTGACGATGGCCCGAGCTTTACCTCTTCACACATAACTACCCTCGGTAGCGGATCTGGACAGTTCAACCCATTCTCTTCGACAACGACGAGGATCAAATACCGAAGATCCAAGAGCTACTATGTGCTAACGAACAATGTCGAGCTAGGTTTTGGATTGACCCGCGTTTCAACGCCTACAGTGGGGTAACGGTGCCGTATCAAGGACATTGACACAGAGCTCCCGAGGTGTATGACAAAGAACGTGCCTAAGCCACCTCATTTGTTTTTCTTGGGTGGCCTGGGTTATCCTTGCAATGTTGCCGCTGCGAGTGCGAACTGTATCATTTGAGACGAAGTCAGCGTACTTCACCTGAAAGATGGTTTTCAAGCAGTGGTGGCCAAATACCTCCAGTTTTCGCTCGTCCTCCACGCGCTTATCCCAGCATTTACAGCCGTAGCGAAGGACAGACTGGACGGATGCACAGTACGCCCGAATCCTAGCGGCGAGGGGGATGTCGCGTCGGATCCATAGTGTTTTCTAATGCCTGAAAAAACCGGGCAGGCACCACCAATTCGGGAAAAAATGTCGTTCTTTCTCTGTCCATTCGACAGCAACCTCGCTCCGAGGTATTTAGAACTGTCTACCTCTTCCGGTTGACAGCCATCAATTTTGAGAGGTGCCTTTTCCTGGCCAGGGACGCAGCTTGAAAAAGGTTAGTCTTCACATCGTTTATGGATAAACCGACCGATTTAGTGATCTCGTTCACCCGTGACACCATAGACTGCAGATCCCCAGGACTTAAAGCAAGTATGACGATATCCACGTCCTAGTCGAGACCAGTCAGCCGGCGTCCTGGCGCAAACTCAGAACGGTAATCTTTGTGCAGCCCCCTCCCCGAGGATCCAGTCAATAGCGTAGTCCAATAGAACGGGAGGCAGGGCACAACCTTGTCGAACGCCAGACCGAATACCGAACGGTTGAGAAAGATTGCTATGGACCAGAACTCACAGTGGTGTAGCTGTAATAGGCCTTGATCACAGTGATGGTTTTTGGCGGTACACCATCTAGTGCCATTGTCCACCACAAAGACTTACGGTGGGCGGGATCGAACGCGATGGCGGTCAGCAAAAGAGAAAGCCGTCGGTTGTTGGTAGCTGTCGCGGAATCCAAGAACGCGCGTCAGTGTGAACACCTGGTCCGCACATCCACGTCTGCCATAGAGTCCACTTTGGTTGGATCACGTCCGCGAGTCATGCACAGCCTGGAATCACTGGAGAAGGACAATAACGATGATCTTCGCAGCAACGTCGATGAGGCTTATGCTGCGGTAGTTCTCGCATCTCGTCGTATCTTCCATCGTGAAGACTGGTGCAAGGACCTCGTAGAGTTACGCGCAGCCTGGAATCGCCTGAGAAGGACTTAAGAAAAAATGGAACCCCGAGGAATATTAGGTAATTAATCTCTGACCTCAAAGATGCTAGGTATTTGGGTTCTCAGTGCTATTGGTGATGATGCTGCATGTTTGAAGCTCTCAAGCGCCCTACCGAGTGCCCGCACACCGCATTGTCCCCCTTCGAAAAGATACGAAGGTCTTTATTTAAGATCCGACGTTTCGGGTAGTTTACTCGTCTACCCATCTTCAGGGACNATGTCGAAGGAGGTCCTTTACCTCGTCTGTGGCGCCGGTTTGACGAAGCACTGATTCGAAAGAAGCAATGAAGGTGACCGGGTCGGCGTCAGTTGTGTTAAAACCAGATCCACGTTGTAGAACTTTTGTTTGGGTCACAGTAAGTTGTTTTGACGAGAGGTTATGTACTATCGTTTGTTCGGTTTCCTGGTCTTGTGCGGTCTGCAGTGTCATGAACTTTATCGATAAATCCGCATCTCTGTTAGCACGTTTCTTTCGTCCCAATGCTAGTAATGTGTTCTCCAATGAGGCGGCAGTCGATTCCCCACACCGGCGTGTAACAAGCATCCGGTAGTTTTCAGCACTGTGTGCGTATTTCTTAAGTCGCAGGTGACCATCTTGTATGAGTACCCTTGTCATTCGCCGACTATGGCGGAACACCGTTTGTTTAGCCAATTCCGTGTTGACTGGAGGCTTGTAGGAGAGGCATTTTGGCATAACATAGTTGGCAAGGCATCTGTGAAGGAAATGGAGCTGTGCATAGGTCGAGGCCTGTCGGAGGACAGCTTTTTCCCAACGACGAGCCAGTTGAAGCGGAATTACTGAACTCAATCATGCGCTTCAACTGTCGGCTGCACTTAGTCAACAAACCGAGTTCATATGCTTTTAAATGCTGTTAACGCATAAAATTCTGTGCTCTTCTGTACAATTTTTGTTTTTCCCCTTGTATTTCTTTCATGTTACTTTCTTTATATTTTCTCCATATGCTTCCTTTGCATGTACCCAATAGAGATTTCATAGCTGCACACCTACTTTCCCCGAAATACACTGACACTGATACCTACTGTCCTCTCTCTGACAAACGCAACTCTGTCCGTGCTCTATTCCACGGAGTTGGAACACACTGTAGCGCATCCGCTACACATTCAAATTCGACGAGGACGAAAGACTCGCCAGGGGGGGAAACAGCGTGAGCCGCAAGCTTCTTGAGTCATGGTTCCATACTCAGTGCTGCGACTTCGCCTAGGCTGAGTAATTAACCACACAGGAAGCGCACAGTTGGACAATTTCCCCAACGCCATAGTCGGTGGATCAGATGGTCGACGAATCATCACACCAACATCCAACGCAGGTGATGAAATTGCAGCAATTAACGACGCAAATGCCGGCCATCAAACGGTCAGCACACCAAGCGCAGCGATTCCTGGTGCTGGGGCGTGAATATTCATAGGTATGCGGTAGCATGGCGATCGCGTCCCATAAATACTGCGGCCCCTTGTGCATGAATCTCCCGATCTGCTTTTGTCTCTGATGATGGGTTCGGGCGGGATTCTGAAACGTCGGGTTAATAAAGCTCTTGTCCAAACGATCGTGTCTCCTTCTTCAAGACTGCTTCCTGGGACTCGCCTCTTCGGCCGACAAAAGAGCTGGACGACAATGCCTTCATGACCTTTATCCGGTCAATAGATACCCAATTTATTTTACCAAGCGAAGCGAGCATCTCGTGAGGGGATAACGACCACAAGAACAGAAATCTGAAGTCTGGAGGTCTATCCCTTACATTCACGGAGTGTCAGCTTTAAGACTATTACAACCCAGCGGGATAGGCATTGCCCATCGACACCTGGCAACAATTCGTCGCCATTTGATGCAACGCAAAGACACACATTCTCCTGTGGTTTCTAACATCAGGATTGTGTTCCCGAGAGCTCAACTTCTTAAACACCTTCCTAAGTCTCAGTTCGCACAGATGCCAATCTCTCCGCATGTTTGATATCTTCAACCACGGAAGGCAGCGCTTTTACCGCCTAACGAATATTATTATGATATGTCACTACACCTACAAAACAAATCCGGTCGGAATAGTCAATGGACATTGTTGCAGGCTTCCACGGAGATTCACTAGACGACTGCACAACGAACACCCAGATGACCATGTTCTGGGAGGTACAAATAAGCAGGTAATATCCCATGTGTGACTTCTGTCTATTTCGAACTGTTTTAGGGTAGGTTCTCACACCGGAACTGTAGCCTTATTAGGCAATGCCAATTCAGAGTGCCGTAAAGTCCATGAAGTAACTGAGCAAATACTTCCCATGGATCAGTCCAACCAAGAGTGTTCGTCTGTTGGGTGTTTTTAAACTTTTGCCAAAAAGATAGTTACGACAAAATTCCCGCTCTGCCCTCAACCGAATTTTTGATCTTATCCAGGATATTACTGAAGCCAGTTTAGTAGTATTAGTTGTGGAGTTGATGTCAGAGTAGACACCACCTGATAAATCTTAGTAATCTATGCTTATCCACTAAACGCCACTCAAATTCGTCCATCAAATGCGAGAAGGCGAGTTAATTGATTTATTTTCATCCTTTGTCCGCGTTCCGTTATCATTGTCATTATAATTAGCATTTGTCTAAAAATCTTCACGTTTTCTCTTTCAAGCATTTTCTTACACCTACCCGCGTCTTGTTATAGTTACTCTTAATTGAGAATTGATAAAGGAGCACTTATTTAATTTGTCCATTTTTGTCAAACTTCAAACGCAGTTGCATTTTAAAGCACAAAGTTATAATTTAAGGTATCTTTTCCAGTCGGCTCTACTTCCCTGTCAACCACGAAGCTTGCCTGAAAGGATCAACAGTCGAAGACCACATTTTACAGTTGGGTCAAAATAAATTATGAGAAGTTTCAGCAGCAATGCAATTTAGATTCGCCAAGATCGGTAGTCATAATAGAGTGAGACCGTTTCCATAACTTGTCATTCGACAAAATACCTCGCATTTCATATATGATAAAGAAGAGAATGAGGGAATTCACCAGGAAAAGGCGGTACTCGGAGAGAATACTGACGGCGAAGGAAAAATACTGGGGTGCTTTTTCCTTTAAGACTCAGGTCTTCAAGTTTCCGACTGTCATACAGCACATTCTTTTAAAAGTCATTTTTTAAACATATTTTAACATTAAGCTTCACACGTCTTTTCAGTGTCATCGTTCAACAAAGCAAAATACCACAAAAACATCAATTGTTGCGATATCGTCTAGTCCTCTCTAATGTTCACTACCAATGAGTCTCATTTTGGTGAAATAGCCGTGCTGTAGTTCAAACCTCATTATGTCCACTGTGCGCCTCACAGCAAGCGAGGCTCAGTGACAATTACATGCGCGTGAATTTGTTGATGGATCTGCCAGACCTGCGAGTCATCCGCCATACACTGTCCCCGCCGCTCTCACTCCCGGTTTCTGTGTCAGGGCAATGCCAATATGACCAGAGACGGATCCGGTGTACAGTAGGTGGGCTAACTCATGAAATGTCAACCAAAATTCCGAAATGCGTTTTCGTTTCGAAAAAATTAATTAAAAAGGATCACGAATCTATTCAACCTGCAACATTATTCTATAATATTTCAGATACTTCAGGATGCCGTCCTTCGAATGAACTTCCTTCCGACCGCATACAAAAACTATGCTCTGTAAAAAATGACTGCACATTTTGCATGCATTTTTCTAATTGATATGTTATGCCTCTAAAAGTCCAATGATTTTTCATGGATAACAATTATAAGAGTATTCATTCTTTTGCTCATTTGTCAGACAATTACGTCTTCTTTTAGTTTTCTGCTCGAAGGAGGGTCATAATTCGGTTTTAAGAAGGTTCTACTTATAGGACTTTTAAATACCATGAAATGGATTTCAGGAATCTTCAAGTCTCTGCATTTACAAATGTAGCTTGTAAAGTTAGCAATATAGATCAAGTCCACCGTTAAATTTTACGAACGCTATATGGTCCCCTTTTAGTACGCAGAGAAATGTGTGATTTTCCATACAACGTATGACCTACCCTGAGCTGGGCCCAATCTTAGTCCAGTGCAGTTCCCGTGTGGCCCACTATTGAGGCCAAAACCACACAGAAGCCTGCACACACCGGGCCCATGCTGTCGTTACCCTACCGGCCAAATCATACCTGTGAACCGTCCGATCAGTGACAGTGCCATCTGTGGTGCCCTGGCTGTTATTTCTGATCGAGGTTGCGAGTAATCTGATAAAGTCAGAACGAGCTGGCACTAACCTTATATTCCATAATTTGCTAATACACGATTGTCAGTACCTGTTCTAGCAGGATAAATTATCGAAAGGTGTTCAGGAAGAAGTTGTTTGTTAGTAAATAACGTTTAAATTGGCTAGTCACAAACCCGACCTACATGACACCTTGTGACTCATTTTAAAACCTGCCTTCCAGTGTAAATGAAACGTACGCAACAACGGTACTTTCACACATATTTTGCTATTGTTTCATATACACTAACAGTCATCACCTAAGATTGTACTCAAAAAGTTCGTTTTGGAGCAATAGTAGTTACAGGTAAGCAGAGTATTTTTTAGACAAGTTCACTAGCCGTCCAGCAAAATGAAAAAAGCTTCCATGACTCTGTCAAAGAATGGAAACAAAATCGTAATTTATATGTGTTTTCTTGCACCGGAAAGAATATTCTGTCACGTATGCTTAATTTTTCGTCCATTAACTTCCTTGGTCTGCACTGCGTCGAAACCAATTAATGGAAAACTTTAGACAACTTGTTGGTTCATGAGCGCGGAAAGTAACATTTTGAAAGTTCATTGAGATTTTGGCAGATTTTGAATAATTCATATTGACCCAGCTGTGAAAAACTGGGCGCCTCGGTGGGATTCGAACCCACGCAGTAAGGGGAAGACTTAAGCGCAGCCAACGCTCTAACCACCTGAGCTACGAGGCCCCGCCGGACGACGCGAGTTTAATCACATTTGGGTCAAGTTACCCGCC